AAAATTTCAGGAAATTTGGCCGAAAGCCATTTTACGTACTAAATGTGCGGGGTCCTTTCCTAATGTGCGTACGTATAATTTGGAAATTTTTGAATTCACTTTAGTTTACTTTCTCATCTACTGGAATTTCATAGGGGGAAGGCTACTCCACTGCTCCACCCAACTGAGATATTTTGAAATGTAGTGTGTTGCCACTTCTATCAAAGAGTAGTAGTAACTTTGATATTTCAAAAAGAATGCCCTGTATTTCATTGCATTTTTTAATTCTCCCTGAAGAGCCGATTTCATCAATGCTTCAAAGTTGGGGTTTAGCATGAATGATTACAGAGATCAAGGGTGTACAAAATCGAGATTTTTCTTGTTGAGGATTTTTTTGTGTCGAAACGGCTTTCATGTTCCTATATCATAACTTATGAATTAGTGCAACATACTTATTTTATGATACATACAGCTATGAATGAATACTTTTTTATCACCGACAAATAGTGCCAGGTAATTTTTTTTCACTTTGTTGAATTCTCAAACTGATATTTCAGTAACTTGTTTTTGAAAACATTGTAAAAAATATCACCAAAATATAATGACGAATTTACATCCAGGTCATGGAGTTTTAGGCGATTTTGAAATGAAAATAAAACTGTTGATCACAAATACACAAGCGGAGTGATTGCTTTGGATATGTATAACTTGATCCTTTTTACCTATGTAAATGATGTAAGGGTAAGGAATCAGTTCTCTCAGATCATTAATATATCATTCTGATGATTATTTAAACACCTCGTCTACTTCTCTGTAGGTACAGCGCATTCGCCAATTGATCAAAAATAACTGTTGGTATGTAATATATATTATTTTCAAAAATGCATAAATAGGTACTCATCGAGGTATGTACCATATACCGACTGTTTATAAAACCCCACAAGCTAATTATATGTAATTTTAACGAAAAAAAAATTCAGTGATTCGAAAAACACTAAGAGCTGGTACAGATTTCACTCAACCAAAGCATAAGAACAATTTATGTTCCAAATAGAAACTTTTTTTTTTCACTTCGTTGTGAATTCTCAAACTGATAATTGAGTTACTTGTTTTTGACAAAATTATGGTGAAATGGCGAATTAACAGTTTATTGCGACGTTGTAAACGATTTTGAAATGTGAAAAATATATTTTTGATCAGAAATACACTGGATATATAACTTGTCCCTTTTTATCATATCTCAATGGAGTGAAAAATTATTTCTCTCAGATCATTAGTACCTATAATACTTATTACCTATACCACAGTCCTATACCCTATACGGCGCATCCGCCAATTAATCAAAAGAAACCTATGCATCTTTTTAAAGTGCAAACAAAAAACTCACTCAGTGGTTCGAAAAGGCGAAGAACACTAAAAATTAGTACAAAGTTCGGTAAAACTGCATTTAGCATGCGATGGGTTTTTTTTCGAAAATTTTTTTTGGTACAACCAACGTATTGAAACAATGTATATGTTTCAAATGGAAAAATATAAATATTTCCACTTCGTTGTTCATAAAAAAAAACCAAAAAGTAACAAAAATTATACTGCAGACCTATAGTAAATTTACATCTCGCGTGACGTGTGAAATAAAAAGTTGTTGTTCGAGAATACAATAGCGAAATGATTCATTCAATGTACATGTATAACTTGATCCATTTTATCTCATCTAAAGAAAGTGGGAAATCAGGTCATTAGTTCCATTAATGAGTTTTACTACTCTTATACTCATGAATGGCGTATTCGCCAATTATTCAAATACTTACATTAATACAAGCATCGGTGGTTCAGTGGTAGAATGCTCGCCTGCCACGCGGGCGGCCCGGGTTCGATTCCCGGCCGATGCAAGCTTTTTTGACTTTTTTCATCCTATCATTATTGAGCACTGTTTTATAGTTATTTATTAACCAAGGGAAGACAGAAGTAGATTTTAGCTCCAGGTTTTGTTGTCTCCCGACGCGTAGCGGAGGGACTCAAAAAACCGTGAGCTAAAATCTAATATTTTTCCCGTGTATTATACACTATTTGTTTCTGTGACAGGAAAAAGGACGAATCAATATTGAGAAGATATTACATTATATTTAAATCAGAAATTTATCGACGTGAAATTTGAAGTTTTCAACAGTAATGATACCTGCGTTGCAGCCGTTGCAGGCATCTTTATCATACTTTTGAAGTGATCAAATATTTGTCAGTATATGATTCTGTGATTTGATTTTAAAAAATTTCGAATTTAGTGGTTGTTTAGTGATTTACGAACCGCGGAGTCAAATGGAAGAAAAAAGGATTTGCAGTTCTTCCTCGGAGACAACAAAAGTCAACGACAGTGTATATATATCGAAGACTGGAACCTTTGGCACGATAATACACTACACTGTTTTACCACTAACCAAACCGATTTTTTAACGCCTCGACAGATTAAGTTTTAATCTTCTCCTAAAGATGCTAACATAGTTAGCGAAACACGTGTCGAGGCGTTAAAAAATCGGTTTGGTTAGTGGTAAAACAGTGTAGTGGACAGTGTATATATTTATGTGATATAATATTATATCCGGGAAAAAAGTACCATGAAGTTAGTTTTCTTGCTAAAAAATTCTTATTATAATTTCATAGAAATCGACCCCATTTTATTTCAATAAAATAGCACGGCACTGCCCAAAAGGAAATTCGTCTCTAAAAAACTGATCATATTGATGGTTATTCATTATACCGGTTAGAATTTGGTAGGAAACGCGCGACTTATAGCTGAGATATAGAGGGGCGTTTCAAGTGAGACACGCTGTATGTATCTAGGAAAGCAGAGGTGGACTAGCTCATCACGTATATTACAGGGTGATTCACATAAGAACCGACATAGAGCAGGGGCATGTAGGGGGTCCCAAAATATGGCAATTTAACGCAACTTACCTCTATACCAAGTTGCTTCACTAAGGAGATATAGGTTTTGAAAGTGAACTTATAAATTTTGAAAAAAATCAATATCTTCGTTATTCTTGAACGTAAAGCAACCAAATTTGTTACACTTCGTGGATGTATTTAGAGCGTTACTTGACAGTAACTAGAGTTTAATTGAAATTTGTAAAGGGGGTATACCGGGTGGCGCACCATCAATATTCAACATATTTTTGTTAACCCTTGATGGATTTCAAAAATCTTTGCTTTGTTTTGTGGGCAATTCAATTCTAAAACTTTTCTTACTCTAGTAATTTTTCGAAAAACCTCATCATTTTCATCAAAATCTCGAATAACTGAAAATGTGTGCTCTAGATGTGTTATTTAAAATCATCGAAAATTCAAAAGTTGGCTATGAAAATAAACGTCAAACTTGACAAGTGAAGCAAGTGAGTTGTTCAATTAAGTAATTGTTGTTTGAGTGTTTTTAAAATGAACGGGAAGTTTTCTTTAAACGAGCAAGTTGACATGCTGTTAGTGCTATATGCCTATAACTCCTTAGGGAAGTAACTTGGTATAGAGGTAAGTTGTTATGTGAATCACCTTCACCTTGTATATGAGTATCGTATGCAATTTTATAGATTTCAGAATATTTTTGTATAATAGTCTAGTTCGATATTGATGAACCTAACCAGTAGCCATCCTTCAGAAAAATCGATTCAACTGATAAAGGAACACAAAATTAATGGCTCTACCATAATTGAATACTATACAGGGTGTTCTTCAATGATTCGCAATTTTTATTGATAAGTTGCTTTATTATCCATGCATGGTCCAAAGTTGGTCTCCGTGAACAATGTCGTCCTGTCCTCACAAAATTAGGCATAATGCCACTCTTGGCAATCTGCATCATATTCAACACACTGATTCAAATTCATAGCCAAAAAGATTCGCTCTGTCTGCAGTCAGAATTCAGATATATCCACCGCTATAACACCCAATCAATGGCCAAACCTCAAAGGTTTAGAATTGATGTCAGCAAGAAAAACTCTCTCAATTACAATCTATATATTATTATAATGTCATAATTCCAGATTTTTCTGGGATTTTCTCTCCTCGTTTCTATAAAATAAAATTATGAATGATATTTCAATATACGTGTAGTAAGGACAAATCAGATGATTTGCCCCAAGATGTCACTGCATTTAAAGCATTTTCCTATCAAAGAGCCTAACAGAAAAATTCACTAGCTTGACAGTGACAATTTGTATTAAAAAGGTTTGTGAAAGAGAAATAGAGGTATATAGAAAAAATATAAAATGTTCACTTAGCTTTGGACTTTTCGGGAACGAATCTGCTCCCGTTTTCAACATAAAAAATGGATATTTGATTAGCAATTTCGTATTCGTCTTGACACATTTGAGTCTCAGTGACAATTGGTGACGTTGACAATCAAATGAGTTTCAGGATTTTGGAATTTTATCTTGGAATTAGTAGTACCTATAAGAACTCAAAATGTTCATATTTTGAATTCGAAACCAGCCATTCGGTCCATCAGTTTTTCCTGCTCATCTTACCATCATTTGTTTTTTTTATGTTCTGGTTCCCACGAAAAGGGATTGTTTGTTTGTCCATAATGTTTTCCTACATTTCTTAAAATGTCGTATTTGAAGATGAAACCATAAATTGTATCGTATTTTGAAGCGAAAAATACCACCAGTTTTGAATCATTGTGAGGAAACGATATTTTTTGTATTCTCGAAGCAAAGTCGGTCGAATGTCCAAACACCCTATTATACATATTACATGGTTTTTCTATTGTTTCGATTTTTTTCATTGTTATCCATGGTTACTTATTTTTACTCAAATTTTCAATTCTTTCATGTAAAGCATTGAGAGGGCCAGCTGCTGAAGACTTTCCTCAACCAGTCCCATAAAGAAATTTTGATTCATAAACAAGACAAGACTGGTCTTGAAACGCCGAATCACCCCACCCCGTCTATAATACTTAATTATTTCATCGCTGAAGTGGCTGAATCAAAGTGTCATATGCAACATACAATTTAACAATGGATGAATTTACTTACGAAATCCATTGGTAGATTCCAGATACAGTGAGTTCTCCTTTTTCTCCCAAAGCATATTCTATCAGTTCCGTGTAGGTAAATGGTGGTTTCTTTGGACCAGAATACCTATAAGAATGTGCCTGGCTACTCTTATTGCTTTGATTCGAGAGGGAATTCTCTATTCTTGGCACCTGAAAAAATATGTCCTAATATGTACAGAAGAGAATTTATAAAATAAGTAAAAGCCCTAAATATAGGAAATGATTTTCTCAGGTGAAAATCTTATTTTTCACCATCATTATTAGAAAATTTGCGATTGGGTGGCGCTGTCTGTATTAGATTTTCTTCAAACTTCATACCACGAATTCTCAGATAATCCTCGATCTTGTAAATATCAAAATTCATTATCTTCGACATTAGAAAAACCCTTATTACGACAATCCATATATCTCAAAGTCACCGTCTTTAATTCCTTTAATTTTCACCCCAATTTAATATTCCATCAGACGATCTGACCTTATTGACAGGAACTCATAAGTGCATATTTTTAAACGGAGAAGAAATCAAATCCATAATCCTTGAAATTTCGTGACGTTTATTGAAAACGAATGGCAAGTACAGGTGTCCCAAAACTCAACGTCAACGTCATCCTTTGGAGGGCTGGATAGTCCAGCACATGACTGACCAGAATATCACAATATGACAGTAAAATATTTAGTTTTGGATGTATTGGAACTTTTATGAATTTCGTGAGAATCGAGTCCTTTGATCATCATAGCAGTTGGGGTGAGGGGGTGCAGCATGAGCAATTTTTTAAAATAACTTGCCAGGTTCGCTTGGTAATTTTAATCACAGTATATAGAGTCCAAGTAAGCTAATTAAAATAAATTTACTCTTGAATCGCGCAAAATTTTTTGCCAAAGGTATTTCACCAATATTTATATTTTGGATTATAATCAATAGACGGGTTATTGCAGGTTCCATAACAAATATTAGAATCTTGAACAATGAAGTTTCGTACCTGCGGTACTCGAAAGATTTCGATTTTCACGAAATTTATAAAAGTGCCAATATCTCCAAAGCTATCAATATTTTACTAGGGGCATATTATATTTTGGTCAATCATGAGCTGGACTATGAGCCCTCCAAAGGATGACGTTGAGTTTTGGGACACCCTAAAATCACATCATGGTAGTCCGACATTCTGAAATCGTAATAGGTTATCATGAAAACTTGACTGACTTATACAAATTTCGTAGGACAATTTCATCATGTGGTTTCAGAAATAATCATTGAACAATTCTAAAAAGAATTGCTGATTATCTTAGTGAGTGAGTAGGTAATAACAATTTTTGTTCGAATGTATAAAGGGTTGACTCATGGTCGATGGTAGGTAAGACGTTTATGGAAAACGCTTCAAAGAATTTCAAAATCTCGACGATGCTGCTTCTATTAAATGTTCCTAGCAACTTCATTTTTTCAATGGATCACCCTGTATATTATTGCAATTTTAGATGTTTCCTGAAGATCTATTTTTTTGTGTCGAAACAATGCATTATTGATCAAAACGGCTTATATGTCGCTATCTCAACTTCTGATTTACTATCTACTGACATTTAATTGGAACAGATACAGGGTGATCAGAATTCTGAATCATGAACGACCCCGTTTTCGTTCCAATCAGGTGCATGAGCAGTTTTGACGAATTATGAATAATTTCGACACAAAAAAAACTTAAAGTTAAAAAATCTCGATTTTGAACACCCTATATCTCTCTAATCGTTCTCGCTAGACCCCAAGTGTGATACATCAATCAAATCATCTCCTTAAGTAGAATCTAAAATTATAATAATACACAGGGTGAACCATTAAAAAAAAAGAAGTTGCTAGGACTTTTTGATAGAAGTGGCAACGGCGCAATTTTGAAAATATTTTATATCGATAGAACGAGTGATAATATGTTAAATACGAAATTTCCAGAAAACTTCTTTACGTTCTCCATAAATGCCTAACATACCGTGAGTCATCCTGTGTATACCTCCTACAGCATTCAACAGTTATCAAACGAAAAGTGTTGATGTACCTTCAACATCCTGTAGAGTCTGCTGTATGATCGAAGGGAATGCGCTTCTGAATTTTTGCCGTCTATATATTCTTGAAACACCCTCAATTATATTTACAACATTTCAATGATATTGTTTGATGATCAATAATATGATGATATACCCAAACTGGTGAGGGTGTAATTAATATGTCTTAAAAATGCTTTCATTGATAATAGAGATAGATAAGTACAGGAAAAAATTGAAAAAATATATACCTCATGTAATAAAGTTTGCTGCAACTGGTTTCCCGCATCAATTTCAGTCATTTGAGAATTTTCAGAAGCTGAAACATCTGAAAAAATATCAATTATTTCATATCATTCTTCAGAGATTTAGATATATTATTTTTCTATACATAACAGATATAATTCAATATTCTGTGGCATTAGCCAGGAAAGTAGTTTTTTTCTGTTAGATATTTCAACATTGATTTTCTGGTTATTTCTCAAAAAACTCCTTCCAACCAAGCAGTTTTCTGTAGAATATTCAAACAATAGTTAGGTACCTATCGTGCATTTTTTATTTTTTCAAATAGGGCATTTCCAATATTTGATAAATATAATTCATTATTCTGTGGTATTAGCCATCAGGAAAGTAGTTGTTTTCTGTTAGATATTTCAACATTGATTGTCTTATTTCTCAAAAAACTCATTCCAACCAAGGGGTATTCTGTTGAATATTCAAACAATACTTAGGTACCTATCGTACTTTTTTTTTAATTAGGTATTTCCAATGTTTGACAAATATAATTCAATATTCTGTGGTATTAGCCAGGAAATCGAGTAGTTGTTTCCTGTTAGATATTTCAGCATTGATTTTCGTATTTCTCAAAAAACTTATTTCAACCAAGGAATTATTCACACCATGGGAAACAGTGATTATAGATCTTAACAAATAGAATAACAAAGAATCGCAGAATCAGATATTATAATTTGAGGAATTCACTGATGTGTATTTATGATATCGACACATAAACAAAATAATTCAATTAAAATTTTACATTGTGGGCTCAACTACCCACTGGGTTTTGGACTTCAATTTTTATTCCATCAGTAAATACCTTGTCAAAAAGTCAGCAGATTTCAAAAGATCTGTTTAAGATCTTATTTTATCCTATACGAATTCCAAGAGAGGATAATGAAATAAACCTTATGACATCAATCATCAATACATTATATACCTTTAGTAAACAGAAAAGTAACATATCTCCAACAAAATAGGAACAGCCAAAACAAACATTCTCATACAAAAATAATCATATTCCTACTTTTCAATTCAAAAATATTTACAAATATTACCAAATATACAGTTACATAGGTATAAGATTCGAGTACATAAAAAACAGGAACGAATAGTGAAAAGGAACAACAAAAATACAAAGCAAATTAAGAGATTGAACGTCCTTTTTTGTTTATATACTTATCTAGTACCTATATGTACATTTATTACTAATTTTGTAAAATTAATTTAAACAGAGCGTCCGAAATATCATGCAATTTGTGTATGTGATTAGCCAAAGATTAATAATGATATAGATGATAATAATAATAATAAATAGGTATCAAAATATTTTTCAGTAGATTATGAAATGTTTCAGTAGATCAGTAGATTAATATGCAAATCAGGAGATCTACTGAATATTCAGTAGAACAGGCAACCCTGCAGAGGACGAAAAGTGTTTGCGGATGGAGTTTTTGTAGAGGTCGACGAAAACGATATTATAGGGCTTATTTTGAATTACTTTTTCTATCAGATTCAGAATCAGCATCCTCAAAAACTCCCCAATTCATATTTTCAAAATCTCAAGAGCAAGGTAGGTATTCGCTTATTTTTCGCTTCGCTTTTCATGACTATATCCTAAAATCTCATCAGTTATTAATGATGCGATTTTCTTGAAATTTTGTCAGGGGACTTCCACGCTATATCATATATATGGGGAATTAGAATTAGATCCATATGATGTCCATAAAGGATTTCAACTTTCAACAATTACCTCGACAAAAAAGTCAATAAATTAATCTCCTTCTGTAAGTTTCACCATGTATATTTATGTATGAGGAAGATGATACATTTTATTCGAATTGTTTGAGAGCAAAAAGCAGGAACAGCTATCCCGCTCCTGATGATGATAATGAAGTATATCTCGTCAATATATTATGTAATATGTCTAATCAAACTGATGTAGCCTGATGATTATATATGAAGTAATGCAAATATGAATATAATTTTATATTCACTCACAAAAATTAAAAAAGTTATGTAGAGGCAGCTATATAATATTAAAATTCGAGTGTTGCCTTTTATTCCTAGGCAATGCTATTATAACAAAAAAACAGGTGAACAAAATTTCAACAGATTGTGTGAAATATCAATAAGCTATCATCAAATATCAAAATGAATGAAAATCGTTAAAAATATTCTTTAAAAACATAATACCTGGAACTGGGGGTAGTTCATGAATCCTATAATTCAAAAGCCAAGACAAATTTCCATCAGTGCAATCAGATTCTATGCCACTATCAGAACCTCTTGGACTTGGACTCTTCAGATCACGCGGCGAGTCATTGATGATGTCGCCGTTATGTAACGTTCTGAAATCTTCACTTTTAACGTTGTGCATTTCAGCTACAATATTTGGGATTTTATTGGTCGTATCCCAACATCCATTGACCAGTAGGACCTATATTATAAGGTAATGAATTTTCATTAAATAATTTAGCTATTTATGAATTATTATTAAATTGTGATTGACATGGCGGCTCAATGGTCTAGGGGTATGATTCTCGCTTTGGGTGCGAGAGGTCCCGGGTTCAAATCCCGGTTGAGCCCAACTTTTTAATTTTTTTACATACCTCTCCATCTGGCACATACTTCAGGTCGTTTTCCTTCTTTATGGCAATTTTTGGAAAACTGCTAGCCAGGTTACAAGTTATTTTACGAATTTTTGACGGAGGCTGGCCAACAGAATGTCTAAACGTTTGAGAAACGACTCTTCCACTATCAGTTGGGTCAAAATATTCGATTTTAATGGGGGTCAAATTTTCATCGAAACTGTTTCGAATTATCAGTTTGTTATTCATTTTAGAAACTGCAAAATGCCTTCACAATTCTGAGACTCCTGGAACGATTCACTTCATACCAAAACAAAACTGGATAAAATAAGAGGGCAACAAATCGGCGAAAGAAAAAAAATCAACTGAGAAACCATGAACGATTTTGGTTTTAATTAAATTGACAGCAGCCTACTATGTTTTTATCATCTGAGGGTACCTATCATAAAAGACATAAAAGAATGATAATTCAGTGCCTATCCACAGGGTGTAGTGAAAGTAATCTTAATGTTGCTTCAGATATTGTATGAAAGATGTTTATAAACATGAAGAGCTAATATTTTTTATAATATTTCTACAGGGTGACGACTTACCTATTGGACACTACAAACTTAAACAACAAATTATGCGCATTTTGTGTAACAGTTTAATAGTTCATTGGCAATCACTACTGGAACTTGATGTTACAGTTGAATTGGGAAAGGTATGATTACTTTTGAACCTATAAATTCTGGCGCGGGCGCTAGTAACCCCTAAAATACCATATATATCAAAATGCGCAGTCGCAAATTCAAATAATAGATCATCGAACATTTCCAACCCTTCTTTCTTTTGTAAGACCATTTTCATCTACTTGATACTCCTATTCAAAATTATTTGATTTTTATTTAACAATAATATAAAATAGTGATGAAATAATAATTATCATTTAAATAATAAATAAGTATATTCTTTTTGCGAATTTTTTACAATTTGTTATTATGGTCCTGCCATCTAGGAGTTGGTAATGAAAGCTTTGCACGAATAGTTGCATACATTCACGCATCTGTCAGTGATCATCTCGTGATCATCAAAAATATCCAAAAAGTCAAATTGGATGGCATGTCAATATGTCCTATGTCATTGTCAACTTGTCAACACAAACGAAAATAAACAATAATAAATATGGCTACTGCTGGTAATAGTGAAGATTTGCCAACAATTCCAATTCTTCCTGTAAATACCCCTTTCAGTTCTGATAGAAATATCTCAAGATCACCCTCAATTTCTTCTATTAATAATTTTCAATGGACAACCCTATTGGTTTCAAAACCTGGCCAAAAGAAGGGGCGGAAACAACTAGGTAATTCTTTATTTCATTTTCGGAATATTTTATATTTTCTGAAAAATAATAATATTATCTGCTATAACTCATATAGTTGATAGCCGTAGACTTGTAAAGGTCACATATGTTTTGTAGATAAACTGCTTGATAGGATAAGTACTTAGGTATTTGTATGAAGTAATAATAACCTATGTTTTCATTATATTATCTCCTGGTTCAGTTTTCCTTTTGCTTCTCAAATCTAAACACACACGTCCTATCATTTGCTACACATAAGGTCTGTTGATTTGATATATATATTTAATTCATGAATTACCTGTTGATACCAAATCCAGTTAAACGAAGTTTTGAAAATATGGTCCACCAACATACAGGTTAGCTATTAGAGAAGTATAAAGGTCTTGGAAGTATTTCATAATCTATTTGTATAGTAGTTATGTGGATGACATCATATTTGAGAGGCAGTATTCTCCTGAAAAAATACCTGGATGAGTAAACAATGAATTTACCTATTGATTCCAGTAACAACCCTGTTCATAACTTTTCTAACTCACTGAAGTTATAATTTGGGGTTTGAGGATGAAACCTTCATTCAAAGAAATATATAATCAGGTTTCCTCTGAAAAGTTAACAATTTTTTCTCATTTACAACTCTTTCCTTTATTGTCTACTTCTAGTTACAAAAGGTACATTTTCATGAGTTTTGAATTATGCAGTAGGTAAAAAATGATTCACCTAATCCTATAGTACTATTGCAAAATAGCTCTTTAGCATTAATCTTTGGCCATTATCAATTCACATGTTTTTTTTATTTCTACTTAATTTTGGTATATTTACTACCCACCTTATTTACTCTTGAAAGTGTTTACTACCAACCACACTATTCATTTCAATGTAGATTTCTTGAACATTTTTCATATGAGAGTGAAGTACAGTGATTGCTTTATTGATCATAATGTTTAATTTATGTGATATCAAAGAAGATCATCAGAAGTGCAAGACATGGATGAAAATGAATTTGGCATGTCATCATCTTTCAGAAACAACAAAAAAAATTCAGTTAAAGCAGGTGATAGGTGATCAACAATGTACTGTATGTGCTACTGTTCAAAATCCTCCTGTAATGTACTCAGTTATTGTTTTTAGATATGTCTATATATATATGAAATACTTCTATTTATAGAATCAGATATGTATGTATGTATGTAACAATATGAATAATTAGTCATCATGGAAATGGAAATAATTCTAAATTTCTGATTGGTGGAGCTACTCATTTGAACATTCTGATTGGTTCAAAATCATATGAAGAAAATAATCCAAGTTAGAACCCATAAAATGAAGTTTTGATTTTTTTAAATAGATATAAAATACTTCCTTTAATAGAATCAGATAATTATCTGATTTTGTAGTGTGCATTTCATCCCTCTTTCACTTATAAAAAAATCAAAATTTCAATTTGAACCACTTTCATGAACAATATGAGATAAATAATGCTTGTTTGATTTTGAAGCATCTGTTTCATACCTCTTTCACCTTTTTATAAAAAGAAACGAATTGAGGTTAGATCTGTGAAAATTGAATTTTGAATTCAAAATATATGTAAAATACTCTTCTGGACACTGATTTGTAGCATTCATTTCATCTCTCTTCATCATCATATTAAAAAAATCGAAATCTCAAGTTGAGCTCAGAAAATTAGATTTTAATTGTTTTTTTTTTAAACAAATGTAAATACTTTTATGGACATGATCAGAATAGATAAATGTTTGATTTTGTAGTATCTCCATTACTCCCACTTATTAAAACATCAAAAATTTTTATAATCTGGCGACTAATCATGTTCATAATAGTTATTTATGTATGGAGGACATAAAATAGGCTTTTATGAACTGTAGCGTGTAAGTAAGAGCATGTAAAAGTAAGGGATAGCGACGCCTATTAAAACGTCAAGACCATAAAAGCAAGTTACGCCCGAAATACATGTACAACAATTTATGCCCGATCGGTATATTTGATTTTTCATTGTGAATGCCTTATTTTCACCTCTCAAGAACGATAGAAATACATCATGGCTACAGTGAGGCATATCATTGATGGAATCAACGTTACCATGGTAACTCGTATAGACATATAATTAATGTCATAAGAGATAACTTTTTTTGGGGTCAATCATATCATTTTGCAGATCAAAATAGTTTTTTATGTATCAAGCGCGTAAACTAGGCGTTTATGGCCTGTGGCGTGAATAATGGCCCGATGGCGCTTGCCGAGGGCCATTACACGCTGAAAGCCAGGTTAGGTTAGGGTCTAGCTGTTACGGTTTCAGGGATATAAAGTGTTCAAAATCGAGATTTTTCAACTTTTTTTGTGTTGAAACTATTCATTATTGGTCAAAACGGCTTTCATGTCCCTATCTCAACTTGTGATTTACTATCTACTAACATTTAATTGGAACAAATACAGGGTGATCAGAATTCTGAATCTTGAACCACCCTGTATTTGTTTCAAATAAATATCAGTAGATAGTAAATCACAAGTTAGGGACATGAAAGCCGTTTTGACCAATAATGAATAGTTTCGACACAAAAAAATGCTCAAGTTGAAAAATCTCGATTTTGAACACTTTATATTCCTGAAACCATTACATCCAGACCCCAAGTGTGATGCATTGATGAAATCAGCTCTTCGGGGAGAATCTAAAAATGCAATAAAATACAAGGTGTTCCATTTGAAATAACAAAGTTGTTGCTTCTTTTCGTTAGAAGCGGCAACGCCGCAGGGCTGAAAATATTTTAGAACGATGTCCCCCTTGAAAATGTAGTTGACGTGTTTCAGATATTTTTGAAAAGGCTTTTAGTCTAGGAAATATCGAATTTGTTCCATACTTTACGGACACAGTGTATATAAATTATTTCTATAATATATTTTTTCAGTTCAATATTCATCAAGACACTATTATTATTACATTTTCTACTTCTTTTTAGTTTCGCTCTCTATAAATGCGTGTTTCTTTAGTTTTTCAAACTAACATTTATTTCAACTTCTTTTAAGTTCACTTGAATTTCCCAATTTTGACGAATGAATCATAATATCCGACTTCTAAAACCCCAGATGAAAATTTTGAATATAATCGGAACATAATTACAAAACTCGTCCGCAATATTGGATCTACCATCTTGAATTCCCTAATTTTGACGAAGGAATCATAATTTTAGATCCCGAAAACGCCCACCTACAAATTTTGAATAGAATGGGTATATAATTACAAAACTTGTCCGATATATTGGTTCCACCGTTTAAATTTTGACAAAAGAATCATAATCTCCGACCCCGAAAACACCCAGATAACAATTTTGAAGAGAGTCGGATCATAATAACAAAACTCGTCCGCCATATTGGGTCCGCTATCTTGAATTTCCAAATTTTGACGAAAGAATCATAATCTCCGACCCCGAGATCCACCAAATTTGAATAAAATCGAATCCTAATTAAAAAATCCGCCATTTTGGATCCGCCATCTTGAATTTCCTAAATTTGGCGAAATGATCATAATCCCCGATCTCAGAAACCCCTAGGTATAGTTCATCTATTTCTAATTGAAACAGCAGAAAAATATTGACTATACCGGGGACGCTCCTTTGTATATCATCACGAATGTAAAATGAATGTAGTTTTCGTGTTGCAACTTTTATAAATGCACTGGTATATTCGCAAAAAACTGCGACCGGGCGACTGGAGTCGTCCAAACTCTTAGTCAAATCGGCATGTATCGCGACTAAAGGTGACTAAAGAATAATAGCTTGGCTGACTGGAGAGTATTTCTTCCTGGAGAATACTCACTGCATCTCACTCTCAACTGCTTCAGTCAGTAGCGTGCTGCCGTGTCATTCAATATTCATTCGATCGGCGATAATTATATTCCGTATAACTTGCTGTTAACCAAACTAACAATGGCATTCTGGAGACCTTTCGAAACTGGAAACGCTTCAAATAATGGTGATATTCAAGGTGCAGAATTAGTGTTAGTTGACAGGGATAATGGTATCGAAAACAATGTTCAAGGTGGAGATTAGTGTTAGTTAACAGGGATAATGTTATCGAAAACAAGGATTTACATATTCAAAGTCAGCGTATTATTTTGAATATCTACGAATGTTTGATGAGTGAAAATTGTTATTCATCGCAGAACGATATTGTATTAAGGATTTGCGAATTAACCAAACTAGCTCGTTCAACAGTTTTCCGTGTTATCAAAACAGGGGATGTCATAGACCACTCCATAAAACGTAAACAAAGGCAAGTTCTCAAAAATTGATGAGGCTACGAAGGAAGTTATCAGGCGAATAATCTACAGTTTCTATGAAGACAACAAAGTACCCGCCTTGGAAATGATTAAAGAAAAATTACTTGATTATCCGGATTATAATTATAAGTGTTTGGAAACTCTACGGGGTGTTATAATGTCATGTGGTTTCAAGCACAAGAAAATTAATAACCGTATGATTATAATGGAATCGAGAAGAATTGTAGAACATCGGCAAGAATATCTAAGGCAGATAAGAGGCTATCGTGAATCTAATAGACATATAGTGTATCTGGATGAAACATGGTTTGACACGCATGATGTTGTGAAATATGGCTGGGTAGATGATACTAAGCAATGCAATTTGAATACACCTTGTTCAAGAGGAAAACGAGTGATAATTTTGCATGCAGGAAGTGTTGATGGTTTCATTCCTAACGCGTTGCTCTTGTCGGCTAAGAATATAAAACAATCATCAGCTGACTACCATGAAGATATGACTGCGAATCTATTTGAAAAGTGGTTCAATGAGCAGCTTCTTCCAAATATTCCACCGAACTCTGTTATTGTTATGGACAACGCATCTTATCATTCTCGTTTATTGACCAAAATTCCTAACAGTAATACGAAAAAGGCGGATATTGTAGATTTCATGAAGAATCATAATATGGATATTCCAGAAAAACTCCCTACAAAAAAGGTATTACTGGAGGAAATAAAAAGAAGAAATTTCAAGAAAGAATATGTGATAGATTCATTGTGCGAGACAAGTGGTCATATTCTTCTACGACTTCCTCCTTATTATTGTATATTCAATCCAATTGAAATGGTTTGGTCTACATTGAAAGGAAGTCTACGGAAACGTAACCAGTCACCAACATTGAGTGCAACAGTGCTAGACAATATAAGGAGAGTGGTGGATGAATTAAGTACTACTGATATTTGGAAAAACTGTATTGCTCACGTCATGAACGAAGAAAAAAAATATTATCTTTCAACCTCCATCATGAGTCCCATTATTATTCACCCAAACAACGATTCTACGTCCGAAGATAGCGAAAGCGACTAAGATGTTTGATGTGTATTTGCGATATATGTATAGTGCAGGTGAGTGTTTTCCTCATTTCGATATAATTTTTGCAAATCCATGTAATATCGGAAATATCGTATACCGGTTAAGTGAAATTCCAGTAGATGCATGGGGATCTCGGAAACGGTAAGAAATATAGAGGAGATTAAATGGAGGCAAAGTTGCGTATTATGGAGCTCATCACTATGATTTCGAAAAATCTGAGCTATATAGCTCTCTCACTTTCAGATATAAAGGAAGGAACGAAAAATTTCATTGATAAACAACGAAAATAGTTAGTTGAAAATTGCGTACGCCTATGGCAAGTCGGCGAGCTCAAAAAGAATGGCACTGCCCATGTTTTTATGCTGGTTCAATTAGTAATAGAAAGACTTTACCAATTTTGATAAGAATCGGATTATAATTACAAAACTCGTCCGCCATATTGGTTCCGCCATCATGAATTCCCAAATTCCGACCAAATTTTCAAATTCTGGCGAAAGAATCATAATCTCCGACCCCGAAAACTCCCAGATACCAATTTTGAATAGAATCGGACCATAATTTCAAAACTCGACCGATATATTAGATCCGCCATCTTGAATTTCCTAATGGTACCGGGATAAAAAGTAGTATCCTATCACCTTCTCCTGGTTCTAAGCTACCTCCCCACCAACTTTCAGCCAAATCGATCCAGTAGTTTCAGAGCCTATTCAATACATACAAACAAACCAACAAACAATCATATCTTTCCTCTTTCTATAGATTCTGAGGTTGATATCACAACGCAATAGATGGCGCATATGTATTGCTATCATTGATCAACTCCCCATGCTCATGCTCATTTTCGTACTAAGGAAAATCAATAACGTCCCCTATCCAAGACGCACTTGTTATTCCGTTATATTGCCATGCGAAATTCCGTACATTGCTCGATTCATATCCAAATCGCAATAATTGAAAATTAGCGTGATTAAGTTGATCGACGAAGATGAAGGTCCAAGAACTACCAGCGGAGTCCGGTCCGACCGCCATGGAGCAAGAAATGGCAGGCGCCCAAGACACCATTTACTTGTGCAATTTTCGGGTTTCGGTGGACGGCGAATGGTTGTGTTTGAAAGAGTTGCAGGATGTGGAGTTCAACATGCAGGAGTCCATCACCAATAAGCCTCTGTTGAGCTCTTCGCCTGAGGTGCCAGTACAACCGTTCGGTATGAGGCTTCTTTGTTCCCCAAAAGATTCATTGTATTTAAAATCCTATATCTGAACAATTCTGAGCTACCGGCTATATATTTGACGGTGTAGGTAATTTTTTGCATTTTTCTGTCAAAGTACCATGGCCTATGATACTTGTACAGACTCAGACTTGAATATACATGGTGATTAAATTCTCCAGGACCACAAAGATGGGATAGATGCCTACCTATAGTATATTTTAATCATCAAGAACCGAAAAAAAAATTTTTTGAAAATAACAAGGTTCATTGATATAAGGAAACTGATTTCGGTGCCCCTGAGGATCAATTTTCATCAAAAACTCGATGCTTTGTAAATGTTTCAAGAGAACACAGAAAATCTACCACTCTTTAAAAATGCACATTTTCGAAAACCACCTTGTAACTATAAAACGAATATAGATGTCGATATGCGTTTGTCATCATTGACTTTGACCCTTGGGTATCGACATTTGATTTTTTCTATCTAGTTTCACAATTCGACTTTCCTTTAGAAGTGACCATTTCAATAAATCTCCGCATATGAGACATGAACAAATGGAATATAGTTCTCTGATTTTCGTGATGTAATTCTGATCACCTTATAATCTACTCCATTCATTTGATATAGACTCTTTTTTCAACACAATTTAGCTTCACCTGTAAACAGGTATGTATCCGACTCCTTAGGACTCGATTTTGACCCATTTCAAACGGACCGATTAATTTGAAATTTGGCAGGTGTACATAATTCTAGTGGCAATGCATCTTGAAATTTTTGATAAAAACAAAATGGCTGCTCCAAAATGGCGGACTAGTTTTGTAATTATGAACCGATTCTATTTCAAATTAGTATCTGGTGGTTTTCGAGGTCGGAGATTATGATTCTTTCGTCAAAATTAGCAAATCTAGATGGTGGATCCAATATGGCGGACGAGTTTTGTAATTATGAACCGAAACTATTCAAAATTTGTATCTGGGGGTTTTCGGGGTCGGATTTCACGATTCTTTCGTTAAAATTTGAAAATTCAAGATGGCGGAACCAATATGGCGAACAAGTTTTGTAACTGTGATCCAATTCTATTCAAAATTGGTATCTGAGGGTTTTCGTGATTGGATATTGATTCTTTCGTCAAAATTGGAAAATGCAAGATGGCGGATCCAATATGGTGGACGAGTTTTGTAATTATATGATCCGATTCTATTCAAAATTGGTATCTGGGGGGTTTATGGCGGATACAATATGGCGAACGGGTTTTGTAATCTTGATCCGATTCTATTAAAATTAGTATCTGGGGTATTTTCGGGGTCGAAGATTATGATTCGTCAAAATTGGGTACTTAGAACACTAAAAAACTTGTTCCTGCAGTTAGCCAAACTAAAAACTAAAAAATAAATAGTAATTTGAGAAACTAAAGAAACACCCTTTTATAGAGATAGAGATAGTAAACAATATAATAATAGCTACTGATTACGGACGTGCTGATATAAAAGGGGGTATCTTTAGTTTTTCAAACTACTATTTATTGAGTTGTACCTTTGAATCAACTCAATTCAACTCTAAAATATAAGGTTGGTGGTACTCGAAGCGGGCCACATAAATAGAAAGAAAGAATTCTTCTGGATTAATAATCTTTTTAGTAGTAATACTACTAAGTACTTTTTTATCGCTTGGAGCGCACGTAAGGAAATCCCTATAATGTTCGAAGAATATTCGGGTTTTACATCGATAACTTGTTGCATATTTACAAAGAGTGTCAGTTTAACAGTTGGAATCCGACCGCGCTCTGCGAGTTCTCAATGTATTTCTTAATATGTACCTATCAGTTTTTTTTCTTCGTGCTCATAATATATCTGAGAATATTCCTTTTCAATATTTCATTGAAATTTTTTTGCAGGCCGCGATCCTGTAGTCATAGAAAGAAGTAATTTAGTGAACATAAGTAAGCTAGTCGTTAAGGAACTCATAGAGCAGTCATTGAGATATGGGAGAATGCTCGATTCAGATCACATGCCTTTACAGCACTTTTTCATCGTATTGGAACACGTTCTGAGGCATGGACTCAAGCCCAAAAAGGTGAATAATTTCGAATTTTAATTGTTAGTTCGAAAATCTATTTTGAAAGTATACATGATTTGTAGGGTTTGTTGGGCCCAAAAAAAGAATTGTGGGACATTCTACAGATGGTTGAAAAGTATACTCCTGAAGCCCAAGATATCACTGCTAGTGTAAGAGATTTGCCAACAGTAAGGTATACAATAATTATAGATGTAGATATTATCTATAACCCTATTTGAACTGCTTATTTTTCGAATTTAGGACACATATGGGCAGAGCTAGGGCATGGCTGAGACTGGCTCTGATGCAGAAAAAGTTAGCAGACTATTTGAAAGTATTGATTGACCACAAAGATGAAGCTTTGGTCGAATATTTTGAACCAGACGCTTTGATGTTGAGTGACGAAGCAATTATAATAATTGGTTTATTGGTTGGATTGAATGTTATTGACTGTAATCTGTGTGTTAAAGTAAGAGAAAATAGTTTTGCTGGTTTTGTTTTGTGTGCATATTCGAAGGGGCCGTATTATTTTATTTTCAATTTACAGGAAGAGGATTTGGATTGTCCACAAGGAGTGATAGACTTTTCCCTATATCTGAGATCGGCGAGTCAAGTTTCCAATGATTCTAGCAATGGTGATGAGACGGGAGATGCCATGACAACAGTGCTAGATCAAAAAAACTATATTGAAGAGCTGAACAGGCATTTAAAGTAAGTCAAACCTGAATTGACCATATTTCACCTGAGAAGGGTAAAGCATATTGTATTATTGTTTTGGCAGCAACTGCTGTCAAATTCAGTGCCTCTTTTGTCAAATGTATTGTCATTTGTCAGTCAATTATGGTTATTCCGACAAAAACGAAGGCTCCTAGAGGTTTATTTTCATTTCCCTAATTTTCAGTGATTAACAGTTCATCAGTTCTTGAGCTGATAGAAATGGGGTCACTTTTAAAAAAGATGCCAATTTTATTTACATTTTATATTTGACACTTTTGTAGCCAAACACAAAATAAAATACCTGACCCTTGCAAATAATGTGGTCGATTGTGAAAAAAAAATCAAGATATATGGATTGGTTGCCAATTTGTGTGGAAATTTCGAATTTTTTCCTGGTTTGAAAAACGGATTGTGCCTTCTATACTGTTTAAGGCCTTATCATTACTAATAATACTAATTTGTGTAAAAGTGATTCTACTCAAAATCCGACATCCTACATGTATCTGAAAGGTGTCCTTTCATCATGAAACACCATGTATATTATAACACATTTTTCATCATTTGACTATCACTAAAGTGAAACGTTTCCATATGAATGAATAATTTCTATATTATCAGTAATTTCAGGTCATCATTGACTTTCAGTTCTAGATAATAACTATACAGGGTGTTTCAGAGTTGTGGTGACAAAAGCCTCGCGGAGATTCCTTTCAACAATTAATGAAAAAAAAAAGTTTTTATGAACATGGGTCCGAAAATGCTTCGTGTCCGAGATACAGGGCGTCCAAGTTTGAGAAAACAAAATAGTTTTCAATTAATATCTTGAAAACGCTCAAGCCGATTCCAATGAAATTCCTATGGTTCATTCACACAATCATCAGACATTCACTGGACCAATTAGAACCCATCGAGCAAGACGGCTTTGTTCGTAGAAAAAAAGTCATCCTGTCTTTTTTCTTCGGGTTCTTCCTTAATATTCGTATAAAGCCACTAAAAATACAGCATTTCTGTCTCTTGTACCTTTTTCGTATGTTGCTTCGTTTTTGAGAAAAACGGACAATACCATACCTATGAGAACTAAAGACATAAAATTCAATACCCACTCTGTATACGACCTTAGCATTTTGTGAGAAATATTTATCAAGGAAAACTATTTTTTTTTTAAACTTGAACACCCTATATTTCGGAAACGAAGCATTTTCGGACCCTTGTTCATATAAACTTTTTTTCATATTTTGTTGAGAGGAATCTCCTCTAGGCTTCTGTCACCACCACTTTGAAACACCCTATATACCTACCTTTCATACGCGGTAACGTTCTTTCAGATCGTTACAAATATTTTAATTTCGGTTACTGATTGTGTTTCATGGTCAGTGATAAATAAATTATTGTCATCAAATCGTGTGTTTTTGTCAGTTCTGCGGATTTTCCTGTTAAGTCTGCATAAACCATCACGACTTTGCATTGAATGAATGAATTAAATATATTACTAGAAAGTTGACCAAGCACTTAAACAATCTTCTCTACTTAGTAGGATATGTAGTATGGAACACAGTGTGTTGAGTTCAATGTCTGTATATAATGTGAGGAAAGCATTCCAATTTACCAAAGTTTTCAAGAGCAAAAAATGGTAAATACTTCGTTATTTCATATTTTTTCTTTGTCAACTTTTTTGAACATACACTGTTTAAAACTAATCATTAGTCATTCCTAACAAACAGGATATAAACAAGTTTATTATAGATAACTGATTTATTCAGAATAGGAGTAGTAGTTCTAATATTTCTAAGTGATGTGAAAACTATTTATGATTCTAAAATTAATTTCATATCAACTTAATTCATCGATTATATACAGGGTGAAATGTCTTCAAATCATGATGGTTCTTTCAGAAACGGAACTAAACATTTACTGTTCTGGTTGAAGAAAATGTTATTGATAACATTAATTTTGCTTTCTACGAGTTGATTTGATCATGGATGGGCGCAGCTCAGCGAATTAGGTGTTTGAATACAAACAAGTGTCAAAAGTGTCTAAAAGAGTGTTAGTAGTTGAATAGTTTGACTAACTGATCCAGCTGTCTAACCAGCGACTAAATAATTATTGGTTTAACTAGGAAAAAGCCAAATACTCAAAGTGGAATGAAATGGTCACAAAGAGGAAGAATCTTTGCATAGATATCGGGAGGATGTAATTCAATATTCTGCGTGACATATAGCCAGGAAAGTTGTTATTTTCTCACGTTATCTACCATTTTCTTTCATTTTATGAACTATAATATGGTAAGGACTTTGTTTTTTTTTCAATTACATTACCTCGTTGGTCCCAGCACTGGGACCAAACGCCCCATAAGTCGAAACTTGTGCGGGGTTAGGTAAGTATACAAACACAAACATCCATGGCCTAACTAGGATTTGAACCTATGTCTCGGTGGGAGTCCCCATACGAACTCAGCGCATTCACGCTCTCGACCACCGAGTTTCTTCCTCTTTGTAATTATTGGTTTAGTTGATGGAGATGAGGGTGCGAGTCATTAGCCCTGTGAGAACTTCTAGGTTTCCCCATGTTCAGAGTTAGAGATATGTTATCTCATTACGTATTTTTGACATTTAGTCTTTCACGAACGCTTGTACTATACGTGTTAGAACTTTCGGGAATAACGCAGTGCCTGATATTTGACATAATGTGAAATTGTTCATCCTTGATGACTATCCTGTTGTTCTGCATTGACTTTTTTCTGGAAGGCACAGGTTCAAATACCATCCTGCTCCGCACCATTATCAGTCATAGACCTGTTCGTGTGTCGAATGTTTCATTGTAATATCCGTTTTGAGTTGTGTTTGGTTATAGATCCACACACCACCGAATGAGTTGTAAAAATTTTTGCAGTTGATGAAGCTATTTTTGAGGTTAGTATCGGAGGTAATGAGTTCTTTCGAGAGCTCTCTTGGGAATAAATTTCAAGGTTGATGGCAAAGGGATGTGCTGACTGGGCTTGTCGCGTTCGTCTGACTGATACTGCTAGTGATGGAAATATTTCTGGAGAGCATTCGTCGAAGGAAGTATATACAGAAAAGTGGAAGGCAACCAACATTCCTTTGGTATTCCGACGATGTCAAAAAACTTTGGCTTTGTATGTGTGTTGTACGCGAATAGCTCGTGTCTGGATACAATTTGAGAGCATGTGGAAACAAGTCGGCCAGATCTGTGCTTTGCATATCGTAAAAAACAAATGAGGTGTAAATAGAGTAGCTTCCTGTGCGGGATATACGTTTTTCTACGGCTATAACACAAAATTGCTCTTGTTTTACTGTGTTCGATACATCAATGAGGTACTTTGTATGTGTTCAATTTTATTTCCGTATCTGATATCACAATGACTCCATTGTGTTATTATTTCGAAAAAACCTCATCGCTCATGGAATGTCAAATTGCAAGCAATGACAGCTTTGTCTAAGAGATGAGCATTACTTGATAGGAAATCAGATGGCTACAAGCCGAAGAAGTCGAAATGCCGCTGTTATCTGTTACAGCCGTAGAAAAATTATAGTGTATAACTTGCACGGAATGCTAATTTCCTACTTGAATGATTGCAGCATTCGCCTATGGCTCAGCTGTAATTCCTTATTGTATGTGAAACTGTACTCCAGTAATTAGTATAAAACATGAAGATATTAATATTGAATCGAAGGTAGGTATTCTCAATATATAAGAAGTAATAACAGAAGTACGTACAAGTGAAGTATTCCTGAGACAATTTCAAGAAATAAAGGTCATAATATAAGCTTGTGTCCGGAAATGCTTCATTTCGGAGATACAAGGTGTTGAAATACAGAAAACACATCATTTTTCGATAAACATTTCATAGGAAAAAAGTAGTTTATTTTGACGAGACCTACCACATACTTGGTTTTTTTAAGTCTCAGCAACTTCTCTTATAGCGCCCTAGGAGCTAAGTAACATATGCATCGATATAGAAAATTGTAAATATCCCCACAATGATCACCCCCAGCGTAATAAAGGCACTTATAATAATTCTCTTGTTACATAAATAACTATTCACTTTTCACTATTAAATTTTGAATTTGGTCGGTACCAAAAACGCCATTCAATAATATATCACGTTGTAGTTTATTTTCTTTTTTAAGTTTGGTTTCCAGATTTTCAATTTCATTATGTAATTTTGCGATCAATTCCTCTTTTTCCATGATTATTTTGTTTTGTATTTTGAGTGATGATAATAATGGAATTTTGTTCTTGAAATCGTCTGCTTTGTAAATTGATGGAACAGCAGATTCTCTCAAACAGATTTTGAAATCTTCTGTTTGAAAATGGGCCTAAAATATAGTTTCATTCTAATCAAACTCGTAATCAGATGCTGTTATAAAAAGTGAATTTTAATGAGTACCTCACAAATTTTGCTCGTCTTCAAATTGATTTTCCACCCAGGCCGTTTCATATCTTCCTTCCATAAGCGAATGGTTGATATTCGTTTTGGAAAATTGAATAAATGATATCCATTTTTTTCAGAATTGGCACAATTCATTACACATCAAGTGATAGCTGCTTTTTCCTCGAAATTATAGGCCTGTTCGTTTGTGCTTGCTCAACCTGCTAAACTTGATTTTTTTCTATGACTTTCTTTGTTTACATCATGGCATGAACAGAGACAACTATGGGAAAAAGATCAACTTTAGCCAGTTTAGCAATACAAACGAACAGGCCTTATAATTATGAAATTTTATTTCAATTCTGACGTAAAATAAAATCCATGTCAAATTCAAACAATTTTGAATGATAAAGCGCGGGACGACTATGATGCTCTTGTCACAATGCAAGGTGTGTACTGTGTAACTTAATAAATCTAAACATTCAAAAACCCTAACCGTTGTCATTTCTGTGTCCCAACTCTTATCAAACTATTACCATTCAGTGACTCTAGTAGGAAATCACTATCATTCTGTGCTCGTTGAACAATATACTATTTCCTACGACTATTGTAAGTGATGAATATTGTACACAAAACAATGTCAGTAGGCTTCTCCTTACGCACAGCGTGAGTAAAGCGAGCGATCACACGGTTTTCATATGTATGTTGATAGATGACATCGTTTTTTTGTTTAGGCGATGTGTAAATTTCAGTCAATGTCAGTATCTATTCATCAATAAATGAAGTTAAAATCGAAACCGAAAGCAGGCAAGTAATATTTTTGTGGATACTTCTCAATTCCAGTTAGAAAATGTCAAGCGATGACGATGAGATTATTTCTACACCATCAGAAATTCTAGAAAAAATGAATAATATCATGGCATTTTTGGGAATTGTTTTGTAACTTTCAACAACTGCACAGTCACAGTTTCTTCATTTTTCTTTATCTGCATGTTCTTTAACCTAAAATCAGAAAGTTTGAGAGGCCGTAGGCCAAATTGGCAAAAAATAAAAAATCCAGAAGATCGTCTTGATATGCTTAACGTAATTAAAAAAGAAATGTCACTTTATAGGAATGGGGGATTGAGAGTTAACACCTACGAGTGTGAAATCTGACAGAGCTCTTTCTTCAGCGGGCTCATTTATTAACAAGCTTAGATAGAGCTTGAACGTCTTGTCTCTAGACGCGTTGGTGTTTCTAAGGGCTAAAAGTGAAGTTCCAGATATCTATTACATGTGCTAGAAGGTCGTCTGTTGATCTCTATTACCGAAAAACATGATCAGACATCTTGATATACTTTTCTAGAAATATCTTATGTTTTATATGTTGATGTCGTTTCTCATAACTTTCGAAACGAAGGATGAGTTCCATCCATTTATCAAGTAACGCATTTGGTTTGGGGAAGAGGTATAACAGAAGTGTTAAAGAAGAAGAATGCCAGTATCTTCTATATATTTCCAATTATAATGACACGAGAGCTTTTTTTTGTCGAAGTAAACTTGGCATGTATCAATAAGAATTTTTTCTGGCATTTTTTTGAGTTGAATTACCTGATGGCAACAAAATTCGAATTATAAATGCCAAGTTCACTTCGACTAAAAAAAAGCTAGATTGTAATTCAGTAAGACAATTTAATTCATCAAACATTCGTTTATGTCTGGTCGTCATGCTTTCAAAAGTTAGGTTCCGTTATTGTCGCTGGAAAAGTTAGGGCAAACTTTTTTCGCTGTCATAATGACAAAATCACGCGGCTTGTGGGATTTTTCGTACATGAATTAAATTGTCAAGATAATAAATGGAAAAAAAAGGCCATACATAATAAATGGCACCTGAGTGAAGCGATCATATAGTCATCGTCTTCGACTGTTTCCAGCGCCACGGTGACCAACCTCCAGACCAAGGTCGAGTCCCTCACCACCACCAACGCCCTCATGAAGGAGGATCTCGCCATCGCCAAGAACAACCTGATGGCGCTGTTCGAGGAGAACCGCCTGTTGCGCAGGCAGTGCGGTCGGGAGGGGGAGGGGTACGTGATGAGCGCGAGCGGCGTGCACGTGACCTCCGCAGACAGCGGAAAGGGGCGGGGCGAGAAGGGCGGGGATGCGGAAGAGCTGCGGCAGCGGCTGGAGGAGGAGCGGCGGCTGAGGAAGGAGGCTGACGATGAGCTGGAGATACAGGTGAGTGGGTAGGATGTCAGTTGATCGAAAGTCTATTTCGACGAATTCGCCAATTGGCCAATTAGACTGTTGGCCCGCGACACAGGGTTTATCGATGTTCTAAGTCGGTATGCCATTTAAGGGACCCACTCACTTAGTCCAGTCCTTGCCCCGGTCCTGACCTCACCTTTCAGTTGGAAAAAAGTTCAAAATTTTGTTTAAGAAGAAGCTCGGCAATGAAGTGCAATGATCTTATCCCACGAAAATTGGGGCGCTTGCCGGTTTGCATACGCCTAGGTCACTCCCCAAGGGTGGCATACGAACCGAAAGTGGCGATTTTTCAGTGTTATAGTTGATGATCTAAGAATGTATGCCCTTTGGCCAAACAATGAATTGAGACCCATTAATCAGTTTCCCGACATTTGCATGCGGAGAGGGGGGCTCGACTTATTCGAACATCATTTGACTGGATATCCTTCAAATAATCGATAATCGAAGAAATGTTCAAATTTTGACCATGGTTAGTGGTATATATGAGATGTATGTATGCAAACCATCATCTCACACCTTATATACCGATCTTCCACACTTTTTTCAAAAAATTCAATTGAATATGTTATATTGATATTAGTCTTTTGTGATTTGGATTTTATGAAAATATACAGGATGTTTGATCTGTATTTTATGTCCCAAATTTTCAGATGTGTATGAAAGCTGAAATGGAAGTAGCCATGAAGTTATTAGAAAAAGACATTCATGAAAAACAAGATACTATAATTTCTCTCAGAAGGCAGTTGGATGACATAAAACTCATTAATTTGGAAATGTATAAAAAACTTCAGGTGAGTCACTAGTTTTTATTTTAATGTTGATTGGTTTTTATGTTCTTTATGCAAGGTGATTTCAAAATGATTACATATATTGAACACATCAATATTATACAGTCTAATAAAAATAAAAAATTGAATTTATCCTAATTTTTCTAATCAACGAGACATTTCATGTGGAAAAATCAATAATAAATAGAAATAAAAATCGAGTTTGCAGAGACAGTTACAATTATTGAAACAAGTGTGATTAGGCCTTCCACATAGCAATGTGGAACTTAGGTTAGGTTCAAATTATATATATTTATTTTGATGTAACCCTGTATGTTCCATAGAAACATATTCTTTCACTGTTGGTAAATTCTGATTTTATATCAAACTTTTTCATTTTCTGCTATTTTCAGTGTATAAAAAAATAAATGACTGATTTTCATTTCCTTGTTGTATGGTTTAGTTTTTAGACAAGCATATTGAGTGGATACCTAAAAATAGTATTATTTTCAATTTTCCCTTTTTTTCAAAGACTTCTTGGCTTCCATATTATGATACTTCAAAAATAATAATAACAATCAAGTGTGATTGATCCTAATTTCATTTATTTTATGTCTGATTGGAATTAAGTGAAATTTGGATATGCTACAGCTTGATTGTAGTTTCATCGATAAAAATGCAAAATAATTATTATACATTTCACTGAAGTACATTGGCTGCTTATAGGAGTGTGAGATGGACCTGACTCAAAAAGGTGAAATGGTCAGCAGGCTTCAGGCGAAAGCAGGACAGATCGGAAAGATTCTCAATAACCTTGAAAAATACAACCACCTCATGAAAGACCACAAAAAAACGTCTGAGAGACGATCTGACAAGAGACAAAGTTGTTCTAAGAGTGTATTTAAAGAAAATGCTACTACTGCTAGCAAAAATGCCGATAAAGATGAGAGACAAAACACTTGTCAAATGGATACTGAACTCAGACAACCAATAACTTCTGATTCCACAGACTCTTTTATCAAACTCGATTTGGATTTAGATCTAGACGAAACTAATGAGTAATTATTTTTTTGACTGCATTTTGAGCATTCCTTGAATTTGGAATGATATACTGGCATAAGATCATAATCTTCAAAACTCCATCATCCCTACTCAATACTGGGAATGAGTAATTCTGTACAAATTTTGAACAACATTTCCAGATGCAAAAAACCACCCAACTTTTGGTTTTAGTTGCGGATATATCCTTCAAAGTATCTGCAATAGTTTTCAAACAAAAAATACCCATTTTCAGCTCAAATTTTTATCTGATGGCAAACCCATGATGAAGTGATATTTTATTCAATATAAATTCCAAACCTTTATAACAGTGTACACAATATTTTCAAATATCAATTTTGATGAAAAACTTTCAAGCCTTATCAGATTTTCTCTAACCTTGGCATTTGCATTTGGAGTGAGTACAGTCAATTGTGATTTTTTATTTCTTAATAAAAACACAATTCTGACCATTCTGATCTAGAAGTAATGAATTATCTCATATATCATCATTGTAAAACGGAAAATTTTTGACTATAAAATGTAGAACGTCAGCATCATTGTGCTTTACGTCAGATTCGAAATTGCACAATTCTTTATATTCTTGTCCTTGAGGAATATATGGCACCATTTATTCTAATTTGTGTACACAAATTAGTATACTATGGTGTCAGAACAACATACTTTATTATATTATTACATTAATCACTATGTTTCAACTTGCTGTTGTTACAGTACTGAGTTTAGGAGTTTTAAATCAGATTCTATGTCTATACTGCTCAAAATTTGATGATTTCCACCTCCCAAACAAGATTCAATGGCTGCAAACTTCCTGCGAATGATCCGAATTTGTGACTACTCTCATTGGCTGTGATCACAAAGTATCGTTATTGTAGAGATTTATGCGTTATACAGGATGATAAAGGAAGGCAAGCAATTATTGGTCTTTATGCTTTGAAATTTGGAGCAGTATATTTTGATTTATATTGTTGTCAAAGCACAGTTATACATTTTTAATTTCTAGTGGTTTGAGGACTATTTTGAAGACTGAGAAATGTAGCTGTGGCTTATTTCAGGGGTGTGAGGCATCTTTAGCGCATAAAGCAGAGTTCATTTCTAAACTAGAAGCTAAGATGCAATCTATGACAGATACGATAGAGTCACTCGAATATAAGTAGGTAACTTTTTGATGAATATAAATAGTTATATGTATACAAAGATATCTTCCTAGATAGTCTACCATACTGAACAAGTAGAGTCATAGTCTTATTTCACCTAAAATCTGTAGGTCTCTGAATTTTGCCGTTTTATCTGATTCAAGGCATAGAAACTGGAAGTTTTTATCATTTTACCAGGGTATGGATAATCGGCATTTCATTTGCATATCCTTCGGCAATGCTTATGAAAGTCCTTTGAATTATTTTCTAGTTTGTCGAGGACTAGCGTGGTATTCTAAACATCATTTTTTGAAATCACTTTCGTGCTTTTCAGATAAATTGATGACATATATGTCTGATCAATAAAAGCACAACAACTACTTCAAATTGTTCTCGCGGCAATAATGATTCCCTCTGTATTAATACTTTGATTGGCTAAGATGTACATGAATGACTGAAATTGAAAGTTTATGTGGATTGTCAGAAACGTCAAATAATAATCACTATTATATAGTTCATGACCATCTCATAGAAAAAATGGTGTTGCTATTATACCTAATTACTTGAAATCATTAGGTATGTTCGTTTGTTTTTCTGAACTTGCTAAAGTTGATTTTGTTCCCATAGTTGTCTCTGTTCATGGCATAATGTAAACAGAGAAAGTCATAGAACAAAATCAAGTTCAGCAGGTAGAGCAAACACAAGAGAACAGGCCTATTGTGTCAAACAATATACGATTGGGGCAAGAATGTTTAACTGCATTTGTATCAGGATTGCTCAATCCCTATACTTCAATGTAAACATCGAGAATACAACGCAGTGACGTCAGCTGAAGTTCATGCAAATGTTGAGTGGTATGTGGAATTCTATAATCACAGGAGTTACGTTACCTGTTGGGATGATCCAAGGCGCTGACACCTAAGCGTGGATTATAAATTCACTGGATTGAGCCATCCTTTACAGATAAAGTGAAATATTCTTGTGATTGAGGTACTCGATACGAAGGTGGAACTCGGAGTAATAAAAAACGTTGGGTTTCCTTTGAGGAGATTTCTGTTGTCAGACTTGTATGTCTTATTCAGAACCATTTATTGAATGAAATGCTCTAGTAGAATGGAAAATCGTGAGACTGAAATCCAGGTAAAGCAGGTCCAAACATTATTATCAATTCTATTTTTTTTTCAATTCACATACCTACAGATATAATCAAGCTATGGCGGCTATTTTCTGTCAAAGAATTTCAAAACTATTCGACTACTTGTTCATATAGACCGACAGGTAGTGACAGATTTTCAGACGTGATTTCACCCAGAATGCCTTTTGGAAGGTTACCCCAGGTATACAGGGTGTCCCTAGAAGTACAAAATCTTAGCACATATTCCTGAGGTCATTATAAGCCGATTAAAAACAACTCACCTCCGTCGGAAATTCTCCGTTTCCGAGATACAGGGTGGTGAAGTTGAAAAATTAAAATCGACACATAGGTACACTCCATGGAGGTATTTGGAAAAATCCATTTCTGCATTGCTAATTTACTGACCAAATTACACCCAAGAAGATGAAAGCAAACAGTTCTTATTCAAAATAATTCAAATATTCCGGTGCTGCATGGAACATTGAAATCCGAAATATCTCAAAATCGGCTTACTTTAGCGGATTATCACAAGAGTATATTTTTTGCCAAAAAATGTTCAGGAATTTATTTCCCCAACAAATAAAGTGAAGAACTACATTGAGAAGAAAGTTGTGGCAATTCTAAAAAATAAGAAGTGCATTGAAAACCGCCCTTTAATGGCCACAGTGAAAAGGTGGCCGTATTCCTGTTTCGCTTCCCGAAAAAAACCCAAATATCAATTTTCGAACTAATACGTTCAAAAACATTCGTGAATTCTGAGAAATTCGATTTTCCTCCTTAATCGTTACCACCCTGTATCTCGGAAATGAAACATTTTCGGAACTGAGGTGAGTTACTTTGAATCGGCCCATTTCTTTTTTCTTTGGATATCGCTTCTTCAAAGTTGGGAACCAACTACCCAGAAGTCGAAACTTGTGCGGGGTTAGGAATATGTGCGGAGACTTTTCAGGGACACCCTGTATATCTTGATGTTAAAAAATGATGTTGATGATGTTTTCAAGGCTTACGGGTATTTTGACTTGCGCAAAAGGTATCCCATATTTCCTGTAGCATATGTATAGCACAAACATGTATACTCGTATACTCCTTGAAGGCAGCCTGTTTGAATACGAGGAAAAATGATTTTTTAAATGCAACTATAAACCTGACCGTGATTAGCTTTTGGGCTCACGCAATCGGCATGCCTTTGTATTTTCAACTATTCATATATCACTTATATTTCATTTTGGAACACTGGCAGCTTAAGTGAAATAATATTGTAATTTTTAATTTGGGAACAAAAATGATGTTAATTAACTTCAATGCATGAAGAACCCTGGAGGATTCTTTAATGTATCATATTTCAACATCATATATACACAATAATAATTTTACCCTCCAGAAGGCTGGGTGAAATCATGTCCGAAAATCTGTCACTGCATTCCGGTCTAAAAATGTATGATCACTGATGTCCTTATGGATAAGTTGTATTCATGTCATCAACCCATAATCAAAAAAAAGTGAAAAATTTTCGCTTTCACATCTTTCATTCTGTATGGAAACTATTCAATGGCCGGGATGTCTGATATAGCTCCCACATAGCGACAATGGTGTGGTTGGGAGCATGTATCATCTACATGGAATGTATGAGAATAATATACATAATAATTGATGTAACAGTATTATGTCCTCATTCCAGACGTTCTCGAGGAATAAAATAGTACAATGCAAGATTCAGGCATTTCACTAAGACATATATTTTCGAAAACAGATTTTGTTACTGTATATAAATGAATATTGACAGCCGACATGGTCTCCAACCGCACCAGTTATGTCTGCGTCGGGCTTTTCAGATTTCCTACCATGAGTTTAATCAACTAAGAGAAAAATAGCGTGAAACTAAATAATTTATGTCGCATATCGAAAATGTTGGCAAACCTTCACTACCAGCAGCAGGCCATAAAAATATAATAACAATTGATATTAATAATATTTGTCATATAGAATCAATTTAGATGTTATATTCTTGTAATAATATCTAGATTATGATTGTGTAACCATCGATTACTGTGATCATGGTGCATAGCGCAAAATGTGATTTTTATTGTTTTTGCTTTCATGGATAATAAAATAAAGCAACATTTTAATGTGTGGATTTTATTGCCCCATCCTAGATATGATTTATTCTTGTTTTAGTATAGGTTTGCCAGTATTTTCGTTTGTATTAGTAGTATGTTTTTTAATTTGCATGTTTCATTTGTACACATCAAACACCACTACTTTTAATTTTGCCTTTCATATGTATTCGCGGGAATCAATGTTACCAGGTGGCGCTCGGGTTTTCATCGTTCCATGTCAAAGCCACGTCAAAACTGGGGGAAAACAAACTCAATCCTCACTCAATCGAATTAGTGCCATTACCTTGTGTACTGTGTACTGATAAGAGTGATAAGATTTTAAATTTCTTGACATTCATTGTCAATATTCGATCGAAATCGCTAATAATGCCTGTTGTAGATGTTCTTTCGGCAGATATTTTGCTCTATTTAGATAAAGCCGACCAGTAGTGGAAGAAGAAGCAGTTCTCCGTGCTAATCATGAGATTTTGTGTGAGGCAGACTTCAACAAAAGGCACATTTTCGCACTTTGTCTACAAACTTCGGCGATGAAATCTTCCCCACATGAAGTAAAATCATAGTTGGGGTCCAGAGGAACTCCTGTAGAAAAATGGATTTGGATTTGTTCCTGCAAAGCAGGACAATCTGAATCTGAACTATCTCCAATTCTTCACCCGTTCACTGTTCACTAAACTAATAAAAATGTAATAATGTGAAAAAATTAACCAACTCAACCATCATCACTACCAACAGTGCCAACACTGTATGTAATTGACAAGTTTGACAACTACAGCTACAGCAAGCTGTATGCAATGTAGTCTATGCACTTTATCCATAGACAACAGTTTGTTTTCCCTCAGTTTGAAGTTCGTATTATGTAACCTAGATGTCGCCCACTTCGTGAATCTCGCGAATAAGAGTGTTTGCTGCCAGAGACAACTTTCTATGATTTTTTTTTTCATTTCGTTTCAACCAACATGACAAGAGTTTTTTTATTTATGTGTTTCCTATTCCCACACACACGTTATATTTGCATGACATCAATGTTGTACCTCTTGTTCAATTGTGAAATTGTTTAGTTTTTCATTTTTTTATTGCATCAAATATTAGTTCCTTACATTTTTTTACGTTCTCCGATGAAAACTAGATAAAAAGGTGGGTAGGTACTCAATAACAATAATAATTTGAACTTTGAAGAAAATTTGCCATTCTCTAATTTTAAATTGTTGAAATTGTGCGAATATTTGCATGAGAATTTTCATAACAGTTAAGAGAAACAAATATATCCAAACCAAACTAGCAGAGGTACTGAGAAATACTTGATACGTATTTTAACAACTCAATTATCATCTCCAGTAGTACACCTGTCGGTGCCTGTAGTGAATAAATTATTTTTCATGTGGAAAAGTTTGTACTGGCAAATAAACTACCCTGCAAAAACCCGACCACTGACCAGAACTTCTTATTCTTGCTAGCCGTTCAAATTAAAATTTGAATGAATCTGTCTACCATTACTGATGATTAAGCAACATGGAGTTTCAATTCTTTTTCAAACAGATGTATGCTTCTGTAGAAGGACGACTTTGATTTTTAGTGGTCAGTTTCTGTAGGGCAGTGTAGGAACAATCAGTAAAGTCATAATTTGGCAGTGGTCCATCAAAAATTCTCAGTTTTTTCTTCAAATACCTTCTGACGGAAATTTCTATGAAGGTACAAAGAAAGTGAATCAATGAGATTAACCACAGAACAACTCAAACAACAAGTGGATCTACAAGCAGCTCACGTAGAAGAACAAGCCAACAGTATTGAAGGAGATTTGAAGTTGGAAAGAGAGTGGAGAAAATCTTTACAGGACTCTATGCAGCAGGACAGAGAAAGGATATCAAAGTTGCAGATTGAAAATGGACAACTGAAGCTACTTGCACAGGTGAGTGGCAGTTGCTAAGTTGCAATTTCATGAACAAGCCTTACAGACCTTGCTCAAGAGCAAAGCCAACGATCTGATGAATCAAGTGGAAGTTTGAATTTGAATGATATCAACATTTTCATATACAGAGTTTCTATGATATGACAAACATTGGAAGTGGTAACATATGACATAGGTATCATAAGGTATTAGGAAGGCATAACGATGATAATAAAAAATATATATCCATTTGAAATGGATAGTTATTATATGATAGAACAACAATAATTGAAGAAAGTACGAAAATGTTATCACAAAAGACAAATCCAAGTAAGAGAAAGTAGTTGCCTTCCAGCCACATAACAATTGTTAATATAGGAAAACAACAACGTTAAGGCGGCTCGGTGGTCGAGAGCGTGAATGCGCTGAGTTCGAATCCTAGTTAGGCCATGGATGTTTGTGTTTGTATATATACCTAACCCCGCACAAGTTTCGACTTATGGGGCGTTTGGTCCCAGTGCTGGGACCAACGAGGTATGCAATTGCAAAAAAAAAAACATATGCAATGGATATAATCAACAGTAACAGAGAAACATTGTATATATTAGTTATTTTTTTCTGAAGTAAAAGTTGTGTAACTCTTTTTTTTCAATATTGAATCCTATTCCAGATATCTTATAATACCTGAAATAGTAATAGTTAAACAATTTAACGAGCAACGGAATGTTCGAAGAACATCGTGCGTTCCTAGGGTGGATAGTGAGAGGAGGTAGGTGTTGGATTTTTTGAACTTTTGAAGATTATGAGGTATACAATATACTTTTTCTACAGCTGTAACAAATAACATCAACATTTTTTATTTCTTTGGCTTGTAGTCATCTGATTTTCTCCTAAGTAATGCTCTATTAGAGAGAGCTGTCATTGATTGAAATTTCACATCTCATGGGAGATGACATTTATTGTGAAATAATAACACAAACATACATTAATTATTGTTTTCAGTTATACCGGGTCTTCAACTATGATTGAACACCACGTGACCAAAATGTGTTTGCATACATATTATAGATGTATATCAAAGAATTCAATAGACACATTCATATTGAAGTCGAAATTATAAACAAAATCCATCTATAAGAGAACAAAGGCAATCAAAATGCTCTCCATTATACATATAGAGTGGAAGAGCAATTTCCATGGTGATTCGTCACTATTGAAATTGAACTCCGCCTTTAATTTTCTTCCAAAGATAAATATGTTATATATTTTATTTTTATTCAAATTTGAAATGGAAGAAAATGATGAAATTATTATTATTATTATTACGTCTCATTAATCTATGCTAGAATTAAATGAAACACAATCATATTGGATACAGCAGAATGTCAACACACACAATCATGTTGAATTTGAAACAAACAAACACAGGAAAACATTGCTTGGGTAGCAAAATCACTGCCATTTGCATGTATCTGTTATTTGAAAATTGATGGTTTCAGTTGCAAAATGTTTCAGAATGTATCAGCCTCTTATAGGGATGTATTAGATGATACAGGGATTTCCATTTGAGTTTGGAAAGTTGAAGTTAATTTCAGTGACTCTGAAATTTTTGAAAAATATTTTTAGGCGTTGAGATGAATCGATATTACGAGGTACGAAAAACGTGAAAAGCCTTTATTCTAATATTGATTGATTGATTGTCTTTATTACCCCAAGAAACATAGTTGTTTATAATAGGGATACATAAACAATATACATAATGTTATACACACAATTCTGAAATTATAATAAGATATAACAAGTAAAAAAAAATGCAAATAATCATGCAATATCAACCTTGTCTTTTATAAGTAGGTATTCAAATAAGAAATGGAATTATCAAAGTCTCTGAAGCAGATATTTTTTCAAGTTAATTTTGAATCTAGTTGCTTCCTGTATATTCCTCAATTGACTTGGTAATGAGTTGTATAGAACAATTCCTGTGTGAAAAATGGATTGTTTGCCGATATTTGACTTGAACGTATTTGCTATTAGTAAATTTGATTGTCTTGTTCCATGATTATGTAATGAATTGATTTCATTGAAATTTAAATTCGAAATTTTCAATTTATATAGGACAAATTGAATAAAACAACATATTTTAAGTTTATATAGTGATGTCAGATCTAATAAATCTCTAGGTTTGTATAAATTCATGGTTGGTTCGAGAAAATTTAAATTGAAAATACACTTCAATGTTTTATTTTGTAATTTCATTAGTGGACTCAAACGTGAAATATTGCAATATAAACAGGATGTTTGATGTTTCCTTTCCAAGAAAATCGCTTGGTATATTATCTGAAATCACAGTAAAATAAATGAAAGATATAGAACAAATTCCTGGAGCTCTTTTGAACTTGAAATTTCTGAAGTGTCTTAATTTGTAGTTGTTTGTGTCCCTAAATAACATGCTAGTGATTGCAGAATTGTAATTTAATGAGAATATTCTTGTATATTGTCTTGTGAATATTTCAGAAATATGCACAACTTCAGGAGGATTACTATACCTTGAAAGACCATAATATGGAACAAGATAAAACTTTGGAAGAATTAGGTGGGAAACTGAAAGATTCCAAGTTGCAAATATCCGATTTGAAGGAGGAAATAAATAGAAACCGAATTGATGGTACTTGGGCGAAAGATAATACTGTTAGTAATTGTAGTGCTTGTTCAAAGGAGTTCAACTTGACTCGACGACGGGTGAGAAAATTATTCATCTATTACCTTTATTGTTAGATCTCAGTTGGGAGTGAAATAATTGGATGCCTTTTCTCAACACTCATCTTGATATATTCAGTAGTAATATACTATAAGTACTTCAAAATATTCCGGTTAATATGTATAACCTTGATATTTCAAAGTTCGAATTGTATTTGATGTGATTATTTTTTGAGTAGTTCTAAACTTCAAAATTTTATGGCGCGCTTTGTTTGTATGTAACAATATGAATTGGTTACTATGAAAATGGAAATAATTCTAAATTTCTGATAGGTAGAGTTACTCTATGTATATCCACGTATATTGGAAATTATTCAAGGTAATTTAACTCAATTGAACTTTCTGATTGGTTGAAAATCATATGAAGAAAATAATCAATGATTGAACACCATGTCACCAAAATGTGCTTGTTTTACAACCAACACTGCACAGTTGGTAAATGAGTAACTGGAAATTAACAGCTTCTATCAAAATAAAACATAGGCGTACTAAACAAAGTCAAAAGCAGGGTTGTAATTTCACTGCAAATTGAAACAAAGTTGAAACAGAAATATCACCCTGCTATAACGCTATTTCTTTGTGGATTCTTGTGAGTTTAAATTATGGAAGAAAAAGTATACATTTCAGTTTCATAAAATATTTCACAAACAAATATTACCTAAAAGCCCCATGATAGATTTCTACGGTGATTGGGATAATGTTGAACATATTGAAAAATGATACCAGTTGATGAATTGACATCCAAGACTTAGGTACCTACTGTAAACCTGCAAAATATGGTGAAGTTAGACCTCCCACCAAGTTTCTTAATGTAATGTTTGAAAATTTTAGAGTAGGGCAAAAATTTAATTCAAGTACACCTACTTACATTATATAGATATATTATAGGATTTAATAAACACATTCATGTTGAAGTAGGAATTATATACAAAATTAATCTCTAAGACAATAAATGCAATCAAAATGGTTTTTTTTCGAAAATTTTTTTTGGTACTTACGTATTTTTGTCTGAAAAACACGAATTTGATAATGAAAATGTGAAAAAACCATTATTCATTAAGATATTTCACTATAAAGTTACAAATTTCACTTTCTTTTCCGCCTGTCTTCTGGATTGAATTTAAAACAATTTACCCTTCTTTGAAGCACTCTGTTGACATTTGACATCTCGTATTTGGATTGACTATCAATTAAATGGCCGTCATCTGGTATGCTTGTTCACGGAATATGAAAAACTCGCCATAAAAATCATATTTCCTGAAGAATTTTCTGTATAAAAATGTGTCATTGAAGTACATGAGTATACAGGGTAACTCACGGTCGATGGTACGTTAGACGTTTATGGAGAACGGGACATAGGATCATTCTGAAATTTTGGTTACTCACGTAGTTGCTCTTGGTCTATCGATCTAAAATATTTTCAGCTCTGCGGCGTTGCCGCTTCTATCGAAAAATAGCAACAACTTTGTTATTTTAAATGGAACACCCTGTATTTTATTACATTTTCAGATTCTCTCTGAAGATCTGATTTCATGGATGTATTACACTTGGGGTCTAGCGGAAATGATTTCAGAGATATAGGGTGTGAAAAATGGACATTTTTCAACTTTAGGAATTTTTTTTGTCGAAACTATTCATTATTGGTCAAAACGGCTTACATGTCCCTATCTCAACTTTTGATTAACTATCTACTGATATTTAATTGGGACATATACCGGGTGATCAAGATTCTGAATTCTGCACCACCCTGTATTTGTTTCAATTAAATGTCAGTAGATAGTTGATCAAAAGTTGAGATAGGGACATGTGAGCCGTTTTGACCAATAATGAATAGTTTCGACAAAAAAAATTCCTAAAGTTGAAAAATGTCGATTTTTCACACCCTATATCTCTGTAATCATTTCTGCTAGACCCCAAGTGTGATACATCGATAAAATCAGCTCTTCAGAGAGAATCTGAAAATGCAATAAAATACAGGGTGTTCCATTTGAAATAACAAAGTTGTTGCTACTTTTCGATAGAAGCGGCAACGCCGTAGAGCTGAAAATATTTTTAATCGATAGACCAAGAGCAACTACGTGAGTAACCAAAATTTCAGAATGATCCTATGTCCCGTTCTCCGTAAACGTCCAACGTACCATGGACCGTGAGTTACCCTGTATAAAGTGTCCAATGACAAAATAAGAAGAGCAAGTACCTGCAAATGCATCCAACACACGGGGAAAAAGGAGTCGAAATTTCGAACTTTTTTTCTGAAATATCTCGATAAATAGTGGTTTGTTCACATTTTCATTGTCAAATTCGTGTTTTTCAGACAAAAATACGTGAGTACCAAAAAACAAATTTCGAAAAAAAACCCATCGCATGCTAAATGCAGTTTTACCTCAAACGGTCATTGAAAACTGAAAATATTTTATCTTGGGAATCAGTGATAAGAAAATCTATACCAGAAAACACCGAAGTGTTTGGAAACAATTCAGATCTTTTTAGCAGAAAAAATATAAATTTTGAGTGACTACCCCAACTCTCATGATCACTGAAGTTTAACTTGAATAAAATGTAATAACTCATATTTTTTATTAAATGAATTTTTTCAGCACCACTGTAGGAATTGTGGGGAAATTTTCTGTAATACTTGTTCTGACAATACAATGGCACTCCCATCATCTGCTAAGCCAGTCAGAGTTTGTGATGACTGTCACCTTCTATTATTGGGTAGAAGTACAAATACTGTGATGAATTAGGTTTAGGCTTCAAATTGTTAATTGTGAAACTATTTACAAGTTTAATTGAGATTGTATATTGTATTAATATAATTTATTTTAATAAGAATACATGAATTCAAATATGTTATTTTATTGATTTTTGTAAAAATATATATTTACATGATTATAAAAGTTTGTTTTAATTCAATACAAAAGCTCCTTATATTTGTATTTGATATAAATAATGTCAAGTTCAACACTATAAAAATATAAATATATTAGAAAAACATCAAAATACAAAACTACAAATTGGAAAATGGACGGACTATATAATTTTTCTAACATAGATCTCAAATAGGAAATACTACAACCACATAAAATGAGATTCTCAAATCACAATATTGCATAATGAAATATACTATAGAAAATCAAGGTTCTGTTACTCTGCAAAGATTGTCAGTCCAATGGTTTGTGTTCAAGAAGAACATGTACAAACATTTTTTCTATTTCAATAGCAACTACAAAAGCTAAATTAATTTAGCCAACCCTGATTGATATATCAATTAGTCAGTTGTTCATTAGATGATAGAGATTCATGTTTTGTTCTGCATTATGATATAAAACTAAGAACATACATTTTTCTTAATACAATATGAAATGTACTCTGGGTTTCAGTGCAAGTAAGAAATTCCAGAACTTTGATGGCAAATTCATGCATGACTTGATTTATATTCATATATATTAATGATCAAGTCCAGTGTTTTATCAAGCATGCATTTTGCATAAATTAGAAAAAATATTTGTAAATTTCATGAAGACTACAACATTTCAATAAGTTGAACCTTCACTAATATAACATCTCTCATAACTGCTGATAAATAGCAATTACAAATCCTAAAATTATTACTATTGGAGAAAACTTGTTGATGAAGCCACTATTACATCTATGATCCAAAAAGCAGAAACACCAAGTTGTTTTGTCATAGTACCTCCTGAAATCATTGCATAAATGAAATTGTAATTTCCTCTATAAAGTATTTTTGCTTACCTGTAAATATCTAGTTCTTTAATACTATTATTAACATAGTTTCCCAATTTCAAGTCCACAGCAGCAGGTCTACAACCTTCATAATGGTCAGCTGGGATATCTGTTCGAAGGCCCTGCAGGGAACTCAAACAGTCTCTGGTAATGACAGTGTTCCCATCTTTTTCTTCAAGGATTTTCACACAGACATCCTCATCTTCAGGACATACTTTTGTCCAATGCCAGAGCCAATTGAAAGGTGTTCCACATCCTGGCTGTGTTGAAACACATTGATAACACCAAAGAGCAGAACCTGAAGTTTAATAAGCAGTTACATGAATAGAGGATAGATTATTATTCATGATCCACAAAAAGCATCTTCAGCCACACCCCTCAAAATTTCTGGAGTTTATTACTTACTTTGTACTACAAAAATAGTTAAGAAGCAGGATACGATAAGAGGCACTTGGCTTACCATATTTAATGACTGACCAAAAAACTAAAGAGTTGGATTTCCAAAACAGAAAATAATAATAAACGTTTATTTTGCTAACCTATAAAGAATTACCTCATTTCCATTTGACACTTTTGCCTTATCATGTCAAGTAAGTCAAAATTAAAATCACTATTTCATTAGGCTGCCAGAATTCAGATGACCATGACTTTTGGTATGGATGCATTTTTAGACCCAATCAGAACGATTCTAACCATAGAGAAACGAATTGGTTTGTCTATGATTCTAACTTTGGCGGTCAAGTTCTTCCTCATTCCTCAACCACAGAATACGTTTTTCTGTGCAACAACAATATTTCTGTCGTATACGAAACCAATGAAACTAATATCATAACGAAACGAACCATTATCGGCCTACACAGTATTTTTCCAATGAATTAGTTGAAGAAAAGAGAAGTTAACGGTGGCCGGATTTTTGAACCACTCTACAGGTATATTTTCTTTGGAAAGAAGAAAGAAAGGGGGTCAGTGGCGTCAGTGCGTGAAAAAGCGCATTTACTTACTACGTTCCAAATAAGAGGACAGTAGGTGGCCCTGCCTCTGAAGGAATCTTTACACTGATGAAATTAGTATGGTAAAAATAAGCGTACGCCACCTATCAGAGTTCTTGAAAGCTGTCAAAGCAGCATATTAACTTTGTTTTCATTGGTTCACATAATTATGGTTCACAGGGTTCACATTATTGTTGTTTGTTGGTGCTTATCGAGAATATCATCGAAACAAACCGCTTGGAAGTGTTCAAGTTGCTGCCGTCAGGTGGGGCGACGTCTTATTGTATAAATTAACATTTCTATTCGAGAATACAGCGGTCTCTAGGAAGATCGATGCTACGAAAGCACCCTGGTGTTACGCAAACTTTTTTTTCTGAAAAAGTCATTATTATAATCACGTTTTTCTCATTATAATGACTTTTTTCCCATTATGATGAATAGTCATAATAATGACTTTCTTCTCATAAATTATGATGGTTTTCTTCTCAAAATATCGACTTATTTCCCATTATAGTGACTTTTTTCTCATTTCATTGACTTTTGCTCTTTTTCATTATAATGAATTTTTTCCTTAGATAATGAAAAAAATCATTACATTGAGAAAACCATCAAACTAAAATTTTTGAAGAGGGAGGGGGAGTTTCTATGTTCAAATCAAAAAGCTGGGACGGCTCACAAACAATCCAAATAATGAGACATGCACATGACAAATTTCTCTCAATTCGATGTTCATGACAGATCAGTCGCAATACCACGTATTTTCAGTAGTAGACATTTAATACTCATGTTTTATCACACTCTCTTCCAATCTATATTATATTATTGGAATGGGGGAGTGGACTTATAATGAATCATTGGCCTTCAATTACTCCACTGTGCCGTTATAGGAACCTGAATTAATTTTTGTAATATTTCTCATGCTTTGTTTTATGTTAATAATGAGTTCAATGCGTTTTTCAAAATTGTTGAATTTCAAAGCTCTTTTCAAACGTACCGTCATGACCGCCATTTGGCGATACGTCGAATAAAAGGTGACGTCAGTTTTTATGCTGTTTCGTTTTTGGTCAGATAATCTTCCATTTCCATACATGAAGCAAGGTTGTCAATTCACCAAATATAATAATAATCAATTTATCAAAAAGATTGGAGTACTGTCGTTGAATAAAACACACGAGATTAACATAATATGAGGTTGCCATGATATTATAAATCTTTCTTGACTCTTTAGAGCAACTAGAACAAATCGTGGCGTCGCTTTTTACTGGAGGTAAATTTCTAGCTGTCTGAAAATTACCGTGGCATTATTGATGATTCTGGCACAAAAAACGACCGAAAAACGAAAAAAAATAATGAATTTGAAAGGTATTTCAGTGATGATTTTATAAAAAAAAAGTTTAGTCCCCGCCTATTAGGAGTCAGAAAGCCAAGAAACATAAAAGAAGAAGAAGAAGAACAATTATAACTACTATTCTTTGTTATAACCTTACTTTATGCGGGTGCCGCGAAGAAAAACCAAGGGACAAGACAAGGAACAGAATTTAAATTTAAATAATTGTTCAAACTTATTGAAATGCTTATTAATGGTGTTACGCCGGACAGGTTCTATATTGGTTTTAGACAGTTGGTAAGTACCATTCTGTCTTTTCTTATTTCCTAGGTATTTTTTCAATTCCAAGTAAAATTTTGTTTGTACAATGTTTGAAATGGGCGACAATTATTCACCTGGTGATCCCTAAGAGGTAAATTTAAATGATCCTCTCTTATATTATATAGGTCCATAATAGGTTGCATACACCATCATACACATTTATGTCAGATGACTGACCCTGGACTCCCTGGAGGTGAAATTTCGTCAATTTGGCATAGGAATCATGTTTTTTGGGCTGTATTATTGATTCAAGCATGCCATCACATTGTGCTGTTGTACAATGCACAATAAATGCACAAAGGGGTGAGATTTTTCAGGTAAATTGTGATCTGAAAGAACTGTAGTCACTTGAGTCATTCACATTTATAACTTTTGTCATTTATCTTTAGAATGCCTTCTGCCACTTCTACAATAGAAGCTAATAGATTAAAAATATAACATGAATGATCATATTTCCTCAGCATGTCAGACCAGTCCTCCTATTTGATTGCATGAATCCAAGCTTCTGGCTTCTTATTTTAGAAACTTCACAAGTCATTCTATCAGCTCCTATTGCAGAAGGAATTCTAAAGAGGAATTTCAAAATTTTATAATGATAACTATCTACAGGAGCAAATATTTATCTACCTACTCTTTGGTCTCTGACTGCATTTTTTGTGCATTATACAACAGCACAATGTGATGGCATGCTTGAATAAATACATTTTCCAAGAAACACTATTCAGTAGTTTTTATTAATTTATTTTTATTTTTACACAATTTTATAAAAAGTAATAAAAACAAGAGATGAATATTAATGGGAGCACTTATCACAAGGATGGAAATAATTACATCAACTATTGTTGAAGGGGGCACTAAGAAACTGCTTAAATAATATCCAATCCATATCTTCAGATATCGACTTCATATTCTTCTACAACACAATTACACCTCTCTAGTCTTAACTCTACTGGTACCTAACTATTCCCTGATAACATCTCTAGAACTGAAGAATTAATAAGGTCATTGATCAATTTATATAGGAAACATATCCAACACTAATACATGATTTTCTAAATTTAGGAGATTGAGTTCCATTCAGATTTCTGGGTAGTTTATATGAGCAATGTGATAACCCTTGTGATATGAATATGTTCTCAAGAACTTTTGCTTTGTCATCATTATTTGTAAACAAATATTCAAATTCAACTGTAACCACCTTTACCAACTACTATTAAGTTGGTTAAAGTGGTCACGGTGAATGAAATATCCTTCAAGTGATTATCCGAAAAATATAATTCTTAGGAAGAAGGTTCATTTAGGCCGATTAAGGTTGGACTGTTTGAAAAAATTAGTGCCATTTTGAAAGCAGAAGGGATATTTTCCTTCCTCCCTGCAAAAGTACAATCTCTTGAGGAAGAAGGTTCATTTAGGCCGAGTAAGGTTAGATGGTTAAAAAAAATAGTGCCCTTTTTTATGCAGGAGGGATATTTTCCTCCTTCCCTGAAAAAAGTACTGTGGCGGCATTTACTGTTGGGAGAAAGTTTTGACAAATTTATTTTCTAGAGTAAAAGTTTTTTTTCGCCGAGTTAGATTGTGTTGTTTTAAAGAATAGTACTTTTTCACTTTCAAGTGAATTTATGAAAATGCTTGTTCCCTCTTTTTGGGTTATCCTACCAGTTCAAGACCATTGAAGTACTTTCTTAAAGTTGAAGAAAATCAGCACAATCCGGCAATATTGATATGACTGACAGGGGATTACGCGAAGTCCCCACCACTATTCCATTTTATGACGCATAATTCGCAAACGCAAGTTTTAAAAGGTGTTCAAATATGGAACCATACTCAAATGAAGATATAACTAAATGACAATAAAGTGAACTTAGTGTTTCAGGATAGCATTCTTTACTGTTCCTAGTAATGAAACCTAGGTTTCTTGAAGCAGTGTTCACTACCATAGTGAAATGACTTCTAAAGTTTAACATCAAATGTTATGCCTAAGTCATCTATCTCATTGACTCTTTTCAATACAGAATTATTTATTTTATAAGCGTTCTCAATACAATCATGACCCATTGAAAAACTGATACAAAAAACATTTTGAAATATTGAGGTCCAAATAATTAACCCTAGACCAGACATTGAAGTTATTCAAATCAGATTGCAGCAGATCAATATCCATATCTGCATTGACATTAAAATAGAGTGAGTGGGGCTTCTCAGTTTTTATTTTAAATCCTCCACATCTCTTCTTCAAATAAGTGCATAATCATAATATGAATTCGTTTGATATATAGCTTGTTTTAGTAATTAAAACTACATAACTATACTTCAAAGTCTGAACTTCTTAATAAATCTTTCGCGAACTCCTTTGGATGGGGTTCGACTGGTTTATTATAAAATTTTGTGAATACCTCTGAGCGTTTCTGATAAATTCTATATTTGCACCACCTCGATAACAGTGGCGGCTCGTGACTTTCATGACAGAAGAGGCTGAATGATATGAGATTTATTGTGGAAAACAACTCTCTACTCACCCAAATCAATAACTTTAATGACATTCTGTTTACCAGTTAACCTGAACTTGATACTTGAAGAGATGTGTTCCTGTGATTTGCAGTGTCTATCCAATCCGCGAGGCAAATTTTTCAAATCATTATATCCTAATCGCCCCCAACATGATGACTTATCGATTGAAAATAATACGCAGTACCAACAAAATAGCTTATTCCTTACCTCAGATCCCGTCAACCAGATATATTTTTTACAATTATCAGGATTGAACGAACGATTTTGTTTGTTACCTGTTACAATAAGATTTTTTAATTCCGGTGTCGGACGTTTGTT